CCTCCTCCCTCCTCCTCCATCGGCCACCTCCCGGCCCATATAATCCGCCGCTGGGAATCCATCCCAAATTCACGACTAATGCGGTCCACGATTTCCGGATTTAAGAGTTGGTAAGGGAGGGGATAGCGATTGGAGGAGAGAAAGTAATGGGAAAAGGTATAATAGAGACGAGATGTAGAAGTGGAAGTATTTGCGGTAAGTGAGTTAAATGGAGGACGACGGAGGAAGTATCTGGAGCTGTAGAAAGATTCTTGAGAAAGGAGAAAGGTACAAGTATGGAGGTGTAGAGATGTGGATAGGGAATGGAAACTGGAATAAGCTATTGCGAGGAGGGTCAGTAACAGGTAAGGAAGATGGTGAAGGAGGAGGGATGCAAAGGAAAAAGGCTTTCCTTATCTATATATATATGAGAAGAAAGGGAAAGGGGTGGGTCAGAAAATCGGGTACCAGTGCGGGAGGGTAATGGAAGGGAAGCAGAAGAGGGGGGGGGTGGTCAGTGCCAGAAGAAGAAAAAAGAAGAGACGAAGACGAAGACGAGACGAGGAGGAGGAGAATGGAGTAGGAAAGGGGAAAAGAACGTTTTCATACATATTCTAGAGGCATTTTAAAGCATTCGTCGGCAAGTCGTGTAAAGTCATGATATGATGATTGCAGAACTTGTGGCCAAAAATATCTTCTATTTTGGAGGATGTCTTGGGTTTACATGGTACCTCCAGGTTTGTTCACAGCTAATATTGATAATCCTCCAGGCTAATGTACGTGTTTTTAAATAGATAGAAGGGAAGAGATTAATTGGCCTCGCCTCATTTCTTATCAGTGCCAATTCTTATCCACATACGGCGTCTCTAGTACTTATGCCGATTCGTTTGCTGTTGCACATTGCATCACATTACCATCTGGCAGAGTTTCGCCTGGCAGATGATGAGCTTCGACCTGCCCCGCCCGCAAATCAGGTGCAATCACAGCCCAATGAGCGCTCGACGCCCACTCATCCAGTCAGTGTGTATGATTCGCCGGTCACTCGGCCAATCAGGAGCCGCATCTGCTGCCCAATTATCTGCCGGGGCCAAGGGAGCACATACACGCCCACGTATTGCGCCATTCGATTAAAACGAGAGCCCGTCCCCCCCCCAACCCAACCCACCCCCACACTTGCGTCGTCGGATGGCACAGTTGGACTCCCGCGCCCACGGAGGGAACATGCCTGCTTAGACTTTCCACGTGGCCAGTGAAAGGAAGAGAGGGAGGGAGGTTGGGGGGAGGTGGGGGAAGGAGAATATATATATATATATATATATAATATATATATATATATATATATATATATATATATATATATATATATAATATAATACACCACATACACACATATATTTAGAGATGTGTGTCAAAGAGAGCGAGGGATGAATGGTAGGCAGCATAGTGAAAGTAATGAGGGAGGCGAGGGGGATGAAAGAGGTTTTTGTTCCCCTCGCCAGCCTTCCCTCGACCTAGTCAATATTTGGCCGGTGCCGCCTTGGCCACGCCGGCCGTCGCCCTGAAGGATGGGTTGGGCGGGGGCGAAGGCGGGGGCGTTGGCGGGCGTCGGAAGGAGGAGGAGGAGGAGGTGGTGGAGGTGGAGGTGGAGGTGGAAAAAGAAAGAAAATAAGGAAGGAAGAGGTGGAGGAAGAGGAAGAAAGAAAATAAGCAAGGATGGAAGAAAGAAGAAAGGAGGAAGGAGGGAGTAGGAGGAAAAAGGAGCAGGAGCAGGAGGAGGAGGAGGTCTGGGCGATGGGTTTTTATGCCCGTGGCTGGCTGTGGCTGCCGCCGCGTGGAAAATTCATGGCGGAGACATGAATTAGGGATTTGTAACAGAATGAAGTGACAAGGAAAGGCGAAAGGGAAATGAGATGGAGAAGGAATAAAGAGACTAAAGAAATGGAAATAAGGTAAAGAGAATTGAATTCACCGTAAAGATCCCTCGGTACTGTGATGTAAAGAAGAGAGAGAAAAAGAAATAAGAGGAGAGGAAAATACGAAAAGAAAGCCGGGTCGTAATGGAAGATTTTCTCCCTTTGTTGCATGTTTCTATTCAGGTTCGGCTGGACGGCTGCGATAGTGTGATGGGGCGAGAGCCTCCGGGCGAGTGGCAGGGCCCGGGTCGCGCCTCGTGTCTCCTGCCGGCGCGGAGGAGGCAGGAGGAGGCCGGCGGAGGGGACGGCCTCGGCGGCGCGCGTGATTTAACCCAATTCGCGCCGTATCTGTGGCACCTCGTCGCCGCTCCAGGGCAGGCCGGACGGGTCCTGTGCGCGAATATTTTCCATGGGCGTCTCTCTCTCTCTCTCTCTCTCTCTCTCTCTCTCTCTCTCTCTCTCTCTCTCTCTCTCTCTCTCTCTCTCTCTCTCTCTCTCTCTCTCTCTCTCTCTCTCTCTCTCTCTCTCTCTCCTCTCCTCTCCCTCTCCCTCTCCCTCTCCTCTCTCTCTCTCTCTCTCTCTCTCTCTCTCTCTCTCTTCTCTGGCTCTTCTCTCTCTCTCTCTCTCTCTCTCTCTCTCTCTCTCTCTCTCTCTCTCGTGTGTATGTGTGTGTGTGAGAGAAAGAGAGAGATTCTGTCTGTATATGTACCTGTGCATATGTCTCTGCCTGTGTGTGTCTGTACACCAGATAATTTCTTCTTGTGTATCGATAAGTGGATGCCGAGTATAGGTCCGTGCGTGCGTGCGTGCGTGCGTGCGTGCCCGGCTGTTCCCGTGATTGTTTGTGTGTCTGTGCCCCGGCAACACAGCATGAAGAGAGTCCCAATAAACGTGCGCGTAGAGAGCGCCCAAGAAAATAGGTTTCCGTCCAAAACGATTAATTAAGAGACCGGCCTTGTGTATTTTGTTTCCCGGCCGGGATAACGTGTCAATATTTACCGCCAGCTTTGTCCTGGGCCGCCTCCGCGTGGGGCGCAGGAGAGGAGGAAAGGGGAAGGGCGGGGAGCGAAGGTCACGGATGGCGGAGGCGGAAGGGAAGGGGCGAAGGAAGAGAGGAGAGAAGACGAATGGAAGGATATTGACAGGAAGCGAAGGGCGAAGTAACTCAAAGCAAGAATAAGATCGAGGAAAGGGGGTAGCCGAGGGGAGAAGAGGGAAGGAAGATGATATTAAGGAAAAGGTAATGGAGAAAGGGTCGGAGGTAAATGTAGAAGCAGAGGCAGAAACACAGACACAGAGAAGGTGAGGAAAACATAGACTTTGATGAAGAAGCCGCGCAGGAAAGAGAGAGAAATGAAGAAGGGGGTGAGCGAACGAGAGAGGGAAAGGTAATCAGAACAGAGAAGTGAAGATGGAAATAGAAAGAGATAACGTGAAGATGTGAAGAAGGGGGTGAGCGAACGAAAGAGGGAAAGGTAATCAGAACAGAGAATTGAAGATAGTAATAGAAAGAGATAACGGCTGCGGTAAAAGGACAAACATTAGCGCAAAGACACGAATGCATGAGTCACCACCAAAGCTGATTGTAACCGGTTGAATAGATAATCCAATCGATTCGTTGGATTAGCTTCTCATCCTCTACTTGTTCCGTTTCTCAGCTGCCTTTTGCATTCTCTTCCTCGTCTTTTTTTCTCCATTCCTTGTTTGCCTTTCTCGCTACTTTGCTTATTTCCATTTCGTCCTTTCCCTTCTCCGTATCCCCTTCTTACTCTTCCATCTTCACTTCCCTTTCTCTTTGCTCTTCCTACTTTGCCCTTCTTTCTCTCTCCCTTCCTCTATTCCCCTTCTTCCTATCCATTTCCCATTCTTCTCATTTTTCTCTTTCTCTATTTCCCTCCAATGCAATTTTTCCCTTCCCTTCCTTTCCCCAGTTTCCCTTTCCCATTTTTCCTTTCCCTTGCCTATTTTCCCATCTTCCTCTCATTTCCCCATTTCCCCTTCCTACTTTCCCTTTCCCATTCTTACTCTCCCTTGCCTATTTCCCCTCTTTCCTCTCCTTTCTCCATTTCCCCTTCCTTCTTTCGCTTTCCTGTTCTTACTCTCCCTTGCCTATTTTCCCTCCTTCCTCTCATTTCCCCATTTCCCCTTCCTACTTCCCCTTTCCTATTCTTACTCTCCCTTGCCTATTTTCCCTCCTTCCTCTCCTTTCCCCATTTCCCCTTCCTACTTTCCCTTTCCCATTCCTATTCTTACTCTCCATTGCCTATTTTCCCATCTCCCTCTCCTTTCCCCATTTCCCCTCCTTCCTATCCCTTGCCTATTTCCACCATTTCGTCTCCTTCCTCTCTTTCCCATTTCCCCTCCTTTCTCTCCCTTGCCTATTTTCCCATATCCCTCTCCTTTCCCCATTTCCCCTCCTTTCTCTCTCTTGCCTATTTTCCCTCTTTCCTCTCCTTTCCCCATTTCTATTTTCCCTCCTTCCTATCCTTTCTCAATTTCCCCTCCTTCATCTCCCTTGTCTATTTTCCCTCCTTCCTCTCATTTCCCCATTTCCCCTCCTTCCTCTCCCTTGCCTATTTTCCCATCTCCGTCTCCTTTCCCCATTGCCCCTCCTTCCTCTCCCTTGCCTATTTTTCCCTCCTTCCTCTCCTTTCCCCCCTCCTTCCTCTCATTTCGCCTATTTTCCCATCTCCCTCTCCTTTCCCCATTGCCCCTCCTTCCTCTCCCTTGCCTATTTTCCCTCCTTCCTCTCCTTTCCCCATTTCCCCGAACGCTCCCTGTGACCGAAGTATATGAATCTTAGATAGCACTGCACCCGAGCTGCGTCTGGTTGGGAAAGTTTTTTTCTTTTTTCTCTTCTTTTTTTGAGAGGGGGGGGGGTGTATTGATAATTCACGCGGTAATTGGCTTCAGGAGGGAACTGCAAATGACTCTGTTTCTTGCTTTTTTATGCTACGTGTGGGTTGGCTTTGATTTGCTTGCTTTGTTTTTGTTCTCATATTTTTTTTGTCTGGGAAATTAGGATGGTCTACGTAGTGGTACTTTTTTTCTTCATCTTCGGAGAGTTGTGGTGTGTGGGGGTCTGCGTGGGATGTGGGGTGTGGGGTC